TCTACATTCGTGGAGCCCAGAAAACATATGCATTTCTAGTTCTTTAAAACTCTGATCTGACCTCGACTGACGAGCAACCGAGCTACCGCGCCACTAAAATATACACCTTTCTTGTTCTCTAACCTCGACTGACGAGCCACCGAGCCACTGAAATATAATTATATACCTCTGTACTTGTTCTTTAAAACTTATACTTACGTGACTTTATGTCTTACTCTTGTGGAGTATTATACCTTTCTCGTTCTATTAACACTCATCTTGAACAGCGAGTCTCCGAGCCACTTATGTATACGCAATTTCTTGAAATTGTTGATTCCGGTAAGGCTTATTCTTTAACAGTCGTAGCCACTGGGAAAGGTCAAGGACGGATTTAGGGGTGGGCCGAGGTGGGCGCGGACACCCCTTTTTCCTTGGAATTGTGTTTTATTTTGATAGAATTCTCAGAAAAATAGAAAGTATCTCTGTGGCTAGCAAGTGGGCAAGTGTCCCGGCCACGCCTTTCTGAATTTTCTAGATCCGCCCCTGAAGGTGAAAGAGCGAAGTCTACGAAAGGTTACAAGTTATTGAAAGTCTTTTACGATTCCGTTTGCTCTCAGTGGACTCACACTACTTACCAAAGTTTACTGGGGTAAAATCGCGGATGGGAAACCTACATGAGGGATGGAGTTAAGTTGAAAAGTGAGGGAAAGACAGTGATAAAATGTTCAGTGTCTCTGCGCGGCTCTGGCTTACGAAATAAGGGACTGAGAGACCGTAGGAATGATTTAGCTGCACATACAGTAGAACCTCGATGTAACTAAGGGCCAAGAAACCGTTTTACTATTAATGGGGTAAAGAAAGTCGATCGTTATCTCAAGGGCTTCGTAACATGGAGGTTCGTTATATCGAGGTTTCACTGTAACGAAGTTTCGTTTATCGAGGCTGATTTCTAAGTGTTTTCCCGTTACTGGGGTAAAGAAAATCGTTAGTTATACCGAAGGCATCGTTATATAGAGGTTCGTTATATCAGGTTCCACTGTATTAGGATGACGGAGTATGTTTATCAGAGGGTAAACACGCATACCTTGCCAATTCTCACGCATTATGCGTGAGTCTCACGCCTGCGGACTAAAGACATCAATCTCGAGCATCGAGGACAATTTTTCAAACCTGACTCACAAATCCGAACAAACTGTTCTTTAACGCATGATACATGATTAATCACGAAAATTCAATTCAATTTTCACGAAAATGTTCGAATAAGAAATTGAATTATGACTTTGTGTCCCAACGAAATCGAAATACGTGGAAATTGTGTCTTTTATATGGCTTCGGAAGTGGTCAAAGTTCGCCGGAACATCTTTGGACGTTTTCGGCAACATTCGGAAGTCTTCGGAAAATCGTCGGAAATCTTCGGTAGTCGCTGGGACATTTTCGGAAATCCCGTCCATGACAAGGCAAATATCTCACTAATTTGACTAAGAAAAAGTTGGCAGGTATACGCATATAATATCAATTACTGTACGATGGATCATGGAAATCCCCCCGTTTCTCGTTGGTCTCACTTACCCATGTCTTTGAATAGATGATTTGATCAAGGTGGCCTGCCTGAAGAAAATGCGGAGGTTCGTAGTCACAGATCATCACAAGCTTTGTGATTTTAAAGAGCAGCCGATCCTCCGGCTTGCGCGCGATGCATTTTCGCTCCTGTCCCCTCAGTAAGGTCACATGGTCTCAAGATCATTTGGCGGGAAATTTAATATGCCATGCGGCTCTGTTTGATCACATGAATTAAGGGCAACATAACAGTCAAAATGCAGATTGCGCAATTTACGATAGTATTGTAAAAACCCAAGCCGTTCTATCTTTTTTACTCGCTTAAACGATTATGATCCGATGTGAGATGTTCCGCAGATAGTTAGAGATCAGTGTTCTCTGTGCATGAGATTACACGCGTCGAGTAGACACTGATCCACGTTAAAACGTCTATTGTCTCACTTTGCGAGTGGGTTTCCCAGTGCACAACCCCAGTCACTAAAAACTTCTCATGTTAGCAAAAGAAACAGAAACTCGAGCATAGTATCGACATAGTAAATGAGCAGTTTTGCTCTAATTTGGGGGCTGTATGTAATCAAATTTCACGCTAGCTTTTACGTGCGTTTACGCGGCAGATTACACGTTTGAGGTGGAGTGACAACACAATGACCTTGCACTTTTTTAAGCACCTCTGTCTTTTAATGGCTAGTGTCATTATCATTTCATTTTGTAACGATTGCGATATGCAATCGCAAGCGAATTGTTAGGGAAAACTTACAAAGACCATGATATAGTCACGAAAAACTCGCTTACAGAGTTTGTGGTACTTATAATCAATCCTATAACGTTACAGTTACGTGCGACCTTAGATACATAGTGATATTCGGGAATCTTTATATTCTCTTTGACAAAGAAAGAAATAAAGGCTGTCGGAACTTCTGTCAAAAATAAAAACAATAAAGATTGGGATTCTATTAAGTATTTAGTAATCATGCAAGCAAATCCTATTGACCGAGGCAAATTCATTTCCTGTCTCGGGGCGGAGCATGCACGCATTTGAGTCATAAGAACTTTAATTTGTTGTCTTGACCGCGGTTAGGAGTTATTAGATTCTCCACAGCAAATTAAATTCTATTCTCAGAGCTCGACGCTAGACCCTTTGAAAGTAACCTTTCATTTGATGAAAGAATTAGAGATGGGGAATTTTAAGCTCGGTAAAACTAATGTGAAAATACGACAAAAAAGAGATTTGAAATATGGTATTTTATCTCGTTCCCTTGTCTCGCGTTCATCCTTTCAGTTTGTGGCCAGCGCACGCGCGTTCGTTTACACTTCGTTGACTGAACCTGACCTCTTTTCTGAGACTTAAAAGTTGCGGCCAAACTCGACTCAGAAAGGTGACACCCGTGCAGATGTTGTAAGATTCAAGTTTCGGTGTGAAGTCTAAACTATGCGCAGTCCCTTGATCAAGATTGTCGAACAACCGAGCATGAAAAGCCAGCAAACAAGGGAAAAGTTCTTTCACTGCTTGATCGATTCCTCAAGTCTAGAAGTTACAAAGTCAAGAACGCTGCCCAATCCAATAGCAAACATAGGCCCTGTATTGTTTTGTTTCGGATGACAAACCTCCTGGAAGTGCTAACGTAACGAGTAGCCGTCCTGAAGCGTGCCATGGCCGTTAGAAATTTCGCCATGGCGACTATTAATATTAGTTACAATATGAAGAGGCTGTATTTTTCATGGGTTGGTTTTGTTTCATTGTCATGGATATACTCAAAGACGTGGCAACCGACACTATACAAGTTGTTTTTCCTTCTGGTTTCTTTGTTTTCATCCCTGCCATTCGTAATTTGAAATTAACAGTACGCCCACTAGCACAAACTGTAGAAATTGAAACACCCGTATGAAACAAAATAACCGACTCTTCGTCCATTTTGGACTTCATAAAACAATACCCAGTTTATCTCTTTCAAACAAAAGCTCGCCGAGGGTTCCGAACAGCTCAAAACTCAAGAATTCAATAACTCGTGCATCCCAACGACTTTCTTTCCGGTGACTTTTAAGGTATGCGTTAACACCTGTTTGTAACAAAAAGAAGTTTATAAACATTTATCGCTGTTTGTTTAACTACATGGAGTCTTTAAAATGGGCAGTAGGTTGTCCGCTCATCATCAATGAATCATTTAATCAATTAATTAATCAATCAAGACTTCTTATGTTCACTTGCGCTAAAAACTGAACCGTAACTGTAAAGAAACATACAGTGAACACACCGTGTGGATTTTATTGACACAAAATAACCCCCGTCTTCTTTTTTAGTTTAGCCCTTTCCACGTCTCATAGCGTTTTTTTTTCTTTTGCAAATAAGGTGCGTGCACTCCCACTGTAATTGTTGACCTAGATGCGTGATTTGTCCGTTAAGGCTTCTTTCCATGATCTTTACGTTGATCGCAGAAATTGGAAGAGTCAGTCTCGTAGAGATTATAACAATCTTTGCCACAAAGGCGGGTTGTTAGAAAGACTTCAGATCTTCCTCATAGCCTTATTTCTTTTGGCATTTTCAAACTAATAAAAGTGACATGTTCTCCAACCCAGATAGTCTTGTGGGGGTATGATTGTCGCTGCTTTTTGGCCAAGCTTTTAAGTCTGCGGGTAATTCCGTTGACGGTGACCAATGCTCTCGAACTCTCGTAACATGTTATATATCTTGATGTTGTTCCGATATGATTTCAAAGTTTAAAGTTTGAGTCTTACGCGCGTTATCTTTTATCATGCGCAAGCAAATCGGTGATTGAAAAATTTGCATTTCGGTCGCATAGTTGACATTTGAAAAAGTGAGAGACATGTCTTTTCTCCCTCTTTTCCGCCTTCCACTATCTAGAACAGTTTATTAATTCGAGGTCATGCCTCTGAAAAACTGGTTAACCACTCCTTATGGATTAAGTATTCACTAGGTTTTCAGTGTTTGATTGGAACTTGTTATTGAAATTAAAGAATTCTAAAATCAAACGTCCTGGCGGCAAAAAGAACAACACAGGGACTGCCAGGAACTTTGCGCTGTGAACAACAAACTTGAATGAAAATATGAATTTTTTTACTTGGTTTGATTTATGAATAGATATTCGCCTGAACAAATTCATTGGTAAACCCTTCCCAAAATCAAGTTTACTGTTCTTTATTCATAGGACAAGAAAGAAAACAAAGTTTTAACGATCAAATCTTCTTTATTTAAACACTGCCAAGCAGCAATTCGAGAATTATAAATATGCACTCTTTCTTTTATAAAATTTCTTTTTCACCAAAGGTTCTATATATACAATAGTATTTAAGTAGCAAAGACAAGCGAAGTTCAATGGAAAATGAGACCACTCCAGCAGGCTTGCGTCCACTTGCGGTTAAATTAATTGCGTAATGAAATTACACGTCCAATCGCTTGTTTATTGCGTATTTGAAAAGAAACAAAACTACGGAGCAATGTTCATTGTTCACCATGGACGCCATAGCAGTGTTTTTGTTGCCGCGATAGGTGAGCTTGCCGGCGAAAGAGCGATTTTCTGCACATGAACCGCCGTTGGACTGATAAGCGTTGGTAAGGCGTGCATTTCTGGCTTTAAAGGACTAACAGGAATGAAAACTGTCGACTGGTTTGTCGGCGATGGTGGTGGTGAAGGATAAGGTGTCCACACGGCGCTTGGCGCAACGGCGGGAAAACTTGGAGTCATGGCGGGAATCCCTGGCGCGTGGCTCGTGGCGACACGGTTCGTGGTGTTACCATGGCAGCATGAAGCCAAGTGATTCAAGAGTTTTTCCCTGAGCTGGTCGCTTCCTTCGCTTGTCAGGATATTTCGGTTGACTTCATTTGCGCATTGGTTGAAGCCTGCTCTGTAGTCAGCAAGTGATTTAGGATCTGAAAATAAATAAAACGCTTGGTTAAGCTTTCAGCTCGTTCAATTTAAAGTGGACGCCATCACTGGAACTTTAAACTTGGCGTTACTCTAGTTGAATATAAGTATAAAGAGAATCTCAACGTGAACTTTTCAAAGAAAAGCAAATGTCAACATATTTAAGTCTTTATTGGGATCAGTTCAAAAGTACATCAATACGTATCAATGGAGGTTAAAGAACCCCAGCGATTTCATGCGACCAAACATTTACACCTCGCTAATTAGATACAAATTGAATTTTCATTAAGGTACTCAAAGTGGCTATAAACTCGCTCGAAACTGAACTACAGGCAAAATGTTTCACGAAACCTCACCTTCTGTTCGCGTGTCCTTTCGTTGCATGGCTCTGAGGTACGTAACAGTCATCTCCAGAACGTCAGCTTTCTCCATCTTAGAATAGCGAGAAGCCTAAAAAAGTCAAACAAACATGATTTAGCTCAAGGCGTCCATGTAAAACATGATCAAGGAGAAGTATGGCAGATTTACATAAATCCAGCTTTGCCCGACTAGCGTGCTCAGCAGCATCATGTGAAGTTTTTTTTTTTTTAAAGGATCAAAAGATTCCATGATGATGATGCTGATAATGTTGTAAGCTCTATAAATATCAAATTGAAAGAGTTGTTTTACTTACATCTTTTTGAAGAAGATCCAAAACTAGGCTCTTAAGTTCATTCAAACTGTCATTGATTCTTGCTCGACGCATTTTTTCCATCAAAGGTTTTTTCGCCTGCAATGGTAAAAAGAGAACTTTTAGGAACAAATGCAACAAATTTGCACATCTCCAGGAAAGATGACGCAAAAAATGTAGCTTTTTTAAATAGAAATTTCAATGCTTACCTTTCTTCTTTCTGACAGAATCTTGCTAACATAAATGGAACTGTCGACGCATTCAACGGCCATGTTTGTGTCAAGTTAAGGATGAGTTTTTCCGGAGAAGATTGTCAGAGATGTTGACTCGATGAGCGTGTGTCTCGAACTGTCCGACATGCATGATGCCTTCCATTTATATTCATCCGTCGTGGGAAAATATCGGGGTCGTGTGCCGACATTAGATAGATCTTATTTACAAACACCTGTCTACTGACAATCGGCTTGCAGCAGAGAACAATGGTGGCTTCATATACAAAGCCACAACCGTGGGAACAGTCGTTTGTGATTGGTCGAGCCCTAATAGTCGCACGATAACCGTCTTTTGCATTGTTTCCCGCCTTCAGCGGCGCGTGAAAAGCGTGAGACCAGACGAATCTGATTGGCTGAGGCGCGCGCGATTCACTTCATATAATTATTGCTGTTCTTCTTGTACATTCAAACTATTAACACAAAAGCAAAATGACAATCCAGGGCTCTTGAAAATTGGCTTCAAAACCATTGAAGCACGTGTGGGCTATTGACATGGCACTCTCATTGGTTTTAAGAAGAGAGATCTAGCCATTCAACAAAGCTTTTAGTTTAAAAGTACACTAATCAGTTTTATATTGACCGTTTTAGAAAGTTTAAGTCGTTCTCTTGTAATCCACGTGCTGTAGAAAACATAACAGGTATTGTTTCCATTGTTTGCCCGCTTCAGGCCTCAGTTGATTCTTCTTTACACTTCATTCGCGCTTTGTAAGCACTATCTCAATAACAAAAGAAGGTGAAAATTTCCCACGGTAGAACGAGTCGCTAACTAAATGTGAAATAAATGGCATTCCCTCGGTGCACGTAATCGACATCGAGCCAGGTGGAGCCGATTTGTTTATTTGGGTATAGTAATAGAGATAGGGATTTTTCCTTTGACAGTACAAATCTCGTGAACAAATGCTCCGAGTTAAGCATTATTATTATGATCAAAAAGTGTCGAATTAAAATCAGAAGCACTTCTGTTAAGTAATATCGTAAAACAAACCGTCCCTTCTAAAGATATATATATATATATGGACTTAGGAAATCAGTTTAAAAAAGAGGAAAGATTATGCAGTCAAATTCTGTTATAATGAAATGAAGCCACTTCCGTCTACTTTTTTAATTGGATCACTGGTCAAAATAGAAAACTTAATTACCTGTTTGAAACTTTTAGTCAAATATAATACAGTGTAACGATTACATTCACAACCTTCGCATGATCTCGTAGTGCGGTGAAGAACGTTTTCGGGAATTGATACCTGTCGAGAGTGCCACACACAAATCTGCTTTGTGTTGTTTTTTCTCGCGTGTAAGTTTGTTTCTATGACTTCGAATAAATTTAGGAAAGCATTAGCTTAATACTCTTATCTCGTCTAGACCCGAGCAAGGCGGAAAGTAGGAAACAGATACTTATTCCGACTAACTCCGTTCGATAAATAAAGGTGCACGAAATACGCTTATTAAAATTTTTAGGGGAGTACCGAGTTCTCTGGATTGAAAGCCGGGCTCGAATAAACCACAAGCCTTACAAATCAGAGAAAGTTATTAGGCCTCTCAGACTTTCATTCATGGTGAAATAAATTTAAGTTATACCAGGATACATAGATGCCAAGAAAAAGAAGTAAATATCATTTCTTAAAATCGAGCGAACGTAGACTGAGTTTTAAAAAGATACTGATTTCACCAGCCCAAGATTGTATTAAAATCCTGGAGGAAACTTGCTATTAACGACTCAAGGCTAATTATTATTATCCTGATTTTTTTCAATAAACAAACCAAATATAATTAACGAAAATATAATCAAGGATGTTGCTTTTTGTGTGTGTGTGTGTTTTTTTTTATGTTAGGATTTCAATAACATCAAACATTGAAATTTAGAAGTTATTAGGTCCGGTTCAGTTCATGATACTCAGTCAACTTAGGGGAAACTGTCCATACAAACATTAACCATCCAGGATGATCAACATAGTCATACCATGCAACATACTTGAATATTTAAAAATAACCTTCTTGGACACTCCTTTTTGTGTCAGAAGGAAGAAAATGAATTTCAATTACCACTACTGAATTATAAAGTAACACAAGACTGCTAAAAAGTGTATTTTTTTGGAGAGACAAATATTTCCAACAGTTTCGTCTAGTGTCGACACAATACGATTCAGAGTAAAATCCAAACGCACCTCCAACTCAATGAGAATGACTGACAACTGTCCGATGACGGATAAGTAAAAAGCTGGTTCTTACAGAAATTACAAAGAAATAAGAAGGCGCCTGAAAGCGTTTACACGGGATGTGTTGGTGTAAGTAAGTATTAAGTTGAATGGCATTGGAAAGTTGAGCAGTGTATCGACAGAAAATGTTTTCGGAAAATATCTGTGCAGAAGACAATTTGAGATCGAAACATTTGTTGTAAAATTTCTTGCTTACCTGCCTCTCCTAGGATTTTCGAACATCTAAAAAATGGTTTAATTGACCACTTTTTAACGGATTTTTATCCGTAAAGGGTCGCATAGAATTTTCGGGAGCCTTTTTTCTGGCTTAAGTTTTCGAAAAGGCAAGTTTTGATCCTTATAATCTTCGGATCACTAAACTTTCAGCTGGGAAATCCGAACAGATGAAAACTTTTTAGGGGATAAAAATATGCCCATATCTACCGTTTAACTACTAAAATACGTTTAACAATGCTATGTGTAAGTGGTTTTGAATTATATTCTCGTTGGATGCCCCTGAATTGTGTGCAGGGGAGACGGAGATGTTCTGTTAAATACACAAGAAGATGAGGGTTCCTTTGCTCCTCAAAACAAACTTACATCAATATTCACCACCATATATGTTACGAATATGGAGTAGTTCACTAAAATTTGCATTCGGGCTTTACTACTATCCTCAATAAATGCACTTCCCCATTTAACTATAGCATGTAATGTATCAGACTTCCAATAACTACAGGGCGCAAGGCTGTGCTCTGAGGAAAATTTTCAGGGAGTCCTTCGGGCTCCCAAGCATTTTAGCTGGGGTGCCCAGACCTAAAAGATGGTCGCCCAAATAAAGTTTTCGGGGAGACCTTCGGGCTTTCAAACATTTTAGCTGGGGTGCCCGGGCCTCCAAGGTGGTCGCCCAGATCAAAAAACCAATGAGCTGTTAGTTGAATATTAAAAATTAAACAAATTATCTGGTAAACAAGGGACACAAAGGGATACAAGGGACACAGCGGACACATGGGACACAAGGGACACAGGGGACACAAGGGACACAGGGAACACAGGGGACACTGAGGAAGAAGAAGAGAGAAACGTACCTACCCCTCCCCAAGTATCATGGCTTATATACAGTAACAAGGGTTTTAATTCCCATCCTCCCCCAATCCCGCTGATGAAGAAAACTAGTCACCCGCCCCTCCCCGACTGGTCCAAAAAATGGTAAAAAGAAAGAAGGGTCCATGTTTTAACCTGTGCATTTTTACATTTTGTTTACATCTCTGCTTAGGCAAGGATAACGAGAGGCTGTGGCACTATCACAGAATCTGGAAGGGATTTCTTTGCGGAACAACTTATAAAACTAGAAGTTACAAATTGTAAATGCAGTGCTGCGGGTAAATACTGGGCAGCACTATATCAAAACTGTATGAAGCAATTATAGAAAAGACAAGAAATATGGGTTCCATTTTTTTAAGTTGGGCAGTTATTTTAACCATTATTATCATCTAAATAAGCAAGAAAAAACTGAAACAAAATGAGAAAAACGGAGAAAAAATTGGCCTCAGTTTTAACCGGAATCATTTTCACAATGCAGCTTTTTTCTCCCAACACCCCAGCTAAAAAATAAGTACTTACTAACATGACCGTATAACGTGGCTGAATTCTAAACAATCTTTCACCTGTTATCGGAAATTGTGTCAACTTTTGGTCTTTTGGACATAATGTTTTACAGCAGTTATTCGCTGTAGTATTTTTTTTTCTTTTTTTTACAAAACTAGCAAAGAAAATTAAAATTTTAGTTTTGTAGTCTGTCGGATAGTGCATTTAAAGCCCTTCTGACTATTCAGGTGAATCAACAGCATAGTTCCTTTCCTGTCAGGAATGACAATAACGTCATTAAACAAAAAGAAAAATTTGCTGTCACATTTGGGGAGAAAAAACACTTGATATTAAACTAAACATAAAACCAAGGGAAACCTCCAAGCGACTCACCCTGTCATCTTTTGAGCAAGGCACTGACAAAAGCACCACCCCGAAGGGCGGAAAAACTTTGGGGGGGAGACCGCTCCCCGCCCGTTATTTAAGGGTCTGCGTGACCGGGCCAGGCCCCACTCTGACAAAAAATTTACAACTTGAAAAACATATGGTGAAAGACAGTCGAGCGATGAACGCCACACATATAAAGTTCCCAGGCCCCACACGGACGATCACAAGATCTACAGCAATCAAAAAAGAAATAATCCAAGCTTTAAACAAACCATGGATCTATATGGTTTCTCTCGCAAAGTTAAAGTAACTAGACTAAAAGATGTTTTCTTTCAGTTTCGAATCCTTCAAAGGCTAGATGAACTCCAAACTATAACGTAGCAGGGATTGTGGTGTTTCTAACGTGCCACGTTTTCGATCTCCATACCCGAACTTTTTTTAAAGTTTGCATTCAGTTATAAATGGCCCTGAACAGAATCGTGCCGTGAAATAAGTAGACAAATCAACTTGTTTCCCCATAAATCGGGAGTAATAGCAAAACACTACTGACTTCACTTATATATTTCTTGTCCTACTGCGCAGGCTTTAAACACTAAGTTAGAAATGAAAACATTAATTGAAATGCTTCTCTTTATTTAATTTCAGCAACGCCATTTAAATGCACCTGTCGAACTAAGCTTTATCACCTAGAAACGTATAGTACAAGAACATTTTTCCAGTTCCCATTTTAGCAATCAGCGTGCACCAATTTCTGAGGCTGAAACGTTTCTGAAAACAATTGTGAAGTAATGGTGAGTGATCAAAAGCTGTTATGAAACTTTAAAAGGTTTAAGT